AGGAGAGAGTGGGCACCTCCCAGAACATTGTTTTGTGCCACTCCCAACAGAAATACTCCAGGTGGACACTTTCAGCAATCAGAAGCTCCTCAGTTGCTCATAGCAAATCCCACCTTGGAGTTTACAAAGACTTATGGGTAGAAAAGCCACACAAAGTAATTTACTACACTGCAGAAACCCAAGGAGGGGTTGCTGTGAGTCAGATCCAACTCCGTGGCAGTGCATTTGGTTTTCGTTTGTCCTCCAGTTTACCACACATTTTTTTCTCCCATCGATGAAACAGAGCCAGAAACCAACCTTGGAAACAGATCCTGGAGAAGCAGGGAGTGGGGACGTTTTCCCTATCTCAAGCACAGGGCAGAGGCAGGCAAGGAATGGGTCTGTGGGCCAGTAGAGATCTGCCTGGGTCGAAGAAGTAATTTTGATTCTGCTAACAGCCTGTGAAACCCTGTGGGCCAGTTCTGCCCTGTACTGTAGAGTCACTATGAGTCAGAATTGACTTGATGGGGCACAACACCAACAACACCTGTACTCTGTTAGCAGCTCACTGCCTTTGCTGAGGCCCCCATCCTGGCTGAGTTTTTGTCTTGAATTCCTGATAGCTGAGTTAGTCATCAATGCCTGAACTTAGAGATAAAGTAGAATTGGAAGGCCCTCCCTCCAGCTGTTTGCAAGTCACGGGAACAAGTGTTTGTATGCGTGAACATATGGTTGCAGTGTCCTACCCGCCAGCAACTTGAAAGATGCTCACAATTATACAACAGCTGAGGAGGTCTAAAGGTTAAGGGATGAATGGTTTGGAGCTCACTGCAGGCTGCATTTGGAGTGTCTGCTTCTGGGTGGAAGATAACAGTTGACTAGATTTGTGAAATAGGAAGATCATGGTTGGCAGGGAAGAGTAGAACAGATTTTCCCATGAGAGGAATGGTCCCTCCAGTGCTGGGAAGTAGGGAAAACGTAGTAGAGATGTGGGTTTTTGAGGCTATACCGAACTAGGCAAGGGACAGAAGATTGGCAGTGGGATAGCAGAGGCTATTGAAAAGGAGTGGAAGCTTGCAGTCCAGACACTTGGCTTGATGGCTGATACCTTGTGCTGACCTGGTATGGATTGACTTGTGCCCCTCAAACATATGTTGAATTCCTGGCCCTTGTACCTGTGAATTTTGATCCTATTTGGAAGTAGGTGGTTTTCTCTTTGTTATGCTAAGAACAGCAACAACAACAACAACAACATGCTAAGAAGACCATACCAGTGTAGGGTACATCCTAAACCTAATCTCTTCTGAGTTCTGTAAAAGAAATGTAATAGACACAGAGACATACATGGGGGAGACAGATACCTTATGAGGATGTCTAAGAACCAAGGAGCCAAGGATGGCTGGGGCTTCTGACAAGGGAAGAATCAACACAGCTGAGATCCGGATTTGGACTTTTACCTCCAGAACTGTGAGAAAATACATTTTTGTCTTCTAGAGCCATCCACTTGTGGTCCCTTTTGTTACAGCAGCACTAGCAAGCTAGACATGATGCTTAAAGATGTTACAGAGCCCATTTCAGCATTTGCACCTGAATACAGCCCCCCTGGTTTCCTCAGGACTCTCTGGTCTTTGAAACACCTGGGACAGTCCCTCAGAGAATCCAGGGTCATATACCTTCTTTGTATTCTTGCTCCAAACTCTGGATGTATGAGCTTTGCATGCATCACATAAGAACAGAGCACTTACTTCTAACACCTTTTTTTCCAACAGGTTGATCTTGAACGTACCTTCACATTTCGAAATTCCAGGCAGACTTACTCAGGGATTCCCATCATCGTGGCCAACATGGACACCGTGGGAACATTTGAGATGGCAGTGGTGATGTCACAGGTGAGATGTTGGCTTTTTTTTTTTCCCCTGTGCTGCTCATGGTGTAGGTAGGTTGTCAGGAGCCCACCTGGACTTATTCACACACAGGAAAGAGGAGAAAAGTGAGATGCTTTGGGTGATTCTGTATGGTTGAAATGTTTAGCTCTGGGTCTAATCATTGCTAGAGATACTTCTTTTCTCCTTTTTTTTTTCAAGCCAGAAATTGGATGGTGTCTGGACTTTGCTGTAAATGAGATGGTCTAGATCTGCATCCATTTCTTCCTTGAACATACCTGTGATAGCTTTAGAAACCAGAGATAAAACAGAAAGTAGACAACATGACAATTACCATTTTTTACAAACATGTCAATGTCTTTGAAAGGAAGACAGAACTGCTTTGTATGTAGTCTGTGCTGTGGCATTTATTACTTAATTGTTAGCTGCTAACCTCAACTCATGGGCAACAGAATGGTCCTGCATCATACCTGTGATCAGTTGCAGATCAGACCTTTGTGATCCCTAGGGATCACAAATTGGCTGATTTTTGAAAGTAGATCAGCAAGCCTTTCTTCCTAGTCTGTTTTAATGTAGAAGCTCCTCAGAAACCTATTCAGCATCATAGCAGCATGCAAGCCTGCACTCACAGATGGGTGGTGGCTCTGTCTGAAGTACATTGGGCAGGAATTGAAGAACCTGTCTTCACATGGAAGGCAATAATTCTACCACCTGTGCTCTCATACATATTTATGTAGAAAATATTTATTGAGTGCTTGTGCCAAACACTGGATATAATAATTCTTATCATAACTCCATGAGGTAGGTGCCTTTTATAGATGAGGAAACGAAGGCTCAGAGAGAGAGGAAAGGTGACTTGCCCCAGGGTACCCAACCAGGTAGAGATAAGAGTCAATATCCAAACACAAATTGCCTGACTCCAAAATCTAAGTGGTTTGCTTTTCACCTTATTCTGACAGATAGCAGTATAAGCTTGAGGTGGAAGAACATCCCCTTACCCAATTACCAGTGTAGTTTTCTAATGAGGGAAATTGCTAGTGTCCTGGCCTTGGCAGCCAGAAGCTCTAGTGGTGTAGTGCCTAAGGCATTTGACTGCTAACCAGAAGATTGGCAGTTCAAACCCACCAGCCACTCCATGGAAGCAAGACTGGGTGATCTACTTCTGTAAAGATTTACTACCTCAGAAACCCAGAGGGGTTTGCTATGAGTTGGAATCGACTTGGTGGTGAGTTTGATTTTCTTTTGGTTTGGGCCTTGGCAAAACCAAAGGAAAAGCCCTTAGCAGGCAGGAACCTTGCCACAGGCATCTGTGTTTGAGGTGCAGAGTGTGTAACACATCTTAGACACACATGTTTGCTCTGATGTGCACAGGGGTGGTGTATCTCTCTCTGCTGATCTGCCTGCCAAGCGAAAATATAAATCCAATTAGTTGAAAGAGCTGCTCACTGTGTGGGCAGCAAGTCTAACCACAGGAGGCACTGGGATTCATTATTAGCCAGTGATTAGAAGGAAATGATTTTCAAACAAATTAGGTGCTCAGAAATGGAGTGAGGGGGATGGTCTGTCTCATTCCATGGCAGTTATAGTCTGTCAGCCATCAGCCCCCACAGAGCTTTGGGCCAGAGGCTAATAAATTAATTGCTAAAGAAAGTGGTTTTGTTACTTTTTTCCTCCTTGTCTTTCTCTAGCTCTATTCTATGATCAGCCATTGCTACTAATGAAGTACATGGTAGGGTAAAACAGGTGGACTCCGAGAGTATCCTGGTTCATTCATGTATCAGATTAACAACCATTGAGTCATCTCCAACTCATGGGAGCCCCGTGTGTGTCAGAGTACATCTGTGCTCCATAGGGTTTTCGGTGGCTGATATTTTCAGAAGTAGATCACCAGGCCTTTCTTCTGAGATGCCTCTGGGTAGAATCCAACCTCCAGCCTTTTGGTTACTAGCCAAGTGCCTAACTGTTTGCACCACCCAGGGACTCAAGAACTTGTTATATTCTTCTCATTTTCACAGCAAAGACTTCCTATCCATGAAATGTCCTGAAATCTAACATGTGTGAGCAACAACACACTGTTGTCGAGTCGGACCCAACTCGTAATGACCCCTCCTTGGGTTTCTGAGTTGGTTTCACTATGGAAGTAGATTTGCCCAACCTTCCTTTTGAGGAGTAGCTGGTGGGTTTGAACTGCCAGCCTTCTGATTAGCCGTCAGATGCCTTAGGCACTATGCCACCAGAGCTTTCTACTTCTAGGATTCACAGTTAGTGGAAGGTAGTCATGGAATTCTAGAATGGGAATTATAGTTGAAGATTTGGGCAGACTCACAGAAGTTAGGGGAGCTTCTACAGGGGAAGGAGCTTGAACCCTGCAGTTGATCCTGGCCTTTACCCATTATTAGCCAAACAATTTAATTTCATTGTGTACCATTTCTCCCCAGCGAAGTTAGTAATACATTTATTTAAAGCTGTTCTGAGAATTAAATAAGACACATGCAAAGTGTTTGCACAAAGTAGACCCTCAGTAAATGGTGGGTTGGTTGATAGTCATAGATTTAGGACTCCATATAATTCCTTCTGTCAAGAATACCAACTGCCTGATGGGTTTAATTTTTAGCCAGAAGTGTTTAGGTTGTTACATTAAACTGTAAAAGTCAGTCACATCAATTCATTACTACTTCTGTTCCCCTTTGTTGCACTTCTGGAGCTAAAGTGGAGCTCATGAATTAAAAAGCACATAGTCCTCCACACTGCAAAGTCTGCCCAAGACCTCAGACACCAGCCATGAGCTTGGAGTCCCCATGGTACCCTTACTTCTAACCTGCTGGTTACAAATTTGAGGTTTTCAGCTATAAACTCAGGGGGCCCTGCCCTACCACCCCCGGCTCCATTTCTGAGTTACTGTCTTCCACTATTCCCTCAGGTTTGATCCTTCTCTAGAACTTACGGAAAGTTCTATAGTTTGGATTATGATTTTATTAAAATGAAGGGTACATAGGGTGAGGTCTGGGAGGGTTCCCAATGAGGAGCTTTCAAAGGATACACTGCCTTCCTCGTGCATCCACGTCTTTTTCCAACCAGGAAGCCCACAAAGGTCTTTGTCCATGTATCACATTGTTGTCTTTCTAGGCTCGCCAACCCCTTCCTGAGTCGTCATACTAGAATATACCCTCAGATGTGGCCTTAGCAAAGACAATTGAATCCCTGGTGAAATTCCAGGGGTTGAGAAGTTACCTCTCAGGAACCAAGGACAAAGACTAAATTCTTTAGGTAGAGTTTAAACTGTAAACCCCACTGTTGTGAACACAAGAAAAAGTGTTTAGGTAGAAGATGAGGTTCTTTAGGGTTAGCAAATCAGAGTTTTGTCTCAGTGCAGCCCTTCTTATGAGCAGGGGATCTGCTGTGTGTTTTTCATTTATCACCATCTGACCCTCCACAATATGGATTGACACAGTGGTTGCAATGATGGGCTCCAGTATAGCAAGGATTGTGAGGATGGTGCAGGACAGGGCAGTGTTTTGTTCTACTGCTGTGTATAGGGTTGCTATGAGTTAGACCCCGACTCAACAGCATCTAACAACAACAATGTGCTGCCGTTGGCTTAATTCAAATGTAGGTAGGAGCTGGGAGCTGGAGTAGGATGGGGCAGGGCTCAGAGATTTCTCCTTTATTCTTTCCTACCTCCTGGCAGACCCTTAAAGTCCTGAATACAGTATCATCTAATTAGATTAGAATGGCAAGCAGGTTTTATGAATGCCCTGGATATACCTTTGTCTGTTTTTGGCTGCTAGGAGCATATTCAAAGCAAATGAAGCATGAATGGCAGGAACACACAAATGCTTTGTACTGTTGGATCACATCCACCATATGGGCAAGGGAAAGAGGGCTCACCTGGCTTCATACTCTAATGATGCTCTTTTGTTCCCTAGCACTGCATGTTTACAGCCATTCATAAGCATTATACCCTGGATGACTGGAAGCTCTTTGCTACGAAGCACCCGGAATGCCTGCAGGTATGACTGCCGCCTGGTTATGAATTGCAGATGGTGCAGGGAAAGAGGAGCTTCAGGGTTGTGAGAAGGATTTGCATTGGCAACCAGTAAACACGAGTTCCGAGAGACCTGGGCAAAGGAAGTATGGGTCTCTGGGCCTGTATCATTGCCAGTGATTAGCTATTCTGTATAACATAATGAAAACACTAGGATTTACCTTTAATATCTGTGTTTCTCTTAAAAGATGAAACATATCATGAGTGTTTAGGGGAAAGACCTGTTTTTTTTTTAATTGTGATTTGGGTGAAGATTTACAGAGCAAATTCACTTTCCATATAGCAGTTCACATATACTTTGTCTCATGTCATTGACCACAGTTTACCACAATGCAACAGCTCCCCTCCCACTTCCTCCCCATAGTTACCTCTTCCCAGTGACCATCCCTCCATACTCTCCTGTGCCCTGAGCTGTCTCCCTGTGCATAAGCAGCCCCTCCTTCTCCCATGATTGTTCTCTCCAGGGCGTGTGGAAAGATCTGTTTTTTGCTATGTATTTCAGTATGAGTCTAGTTGAACATGCCTTTGACTGCAGAAAAATCATTTAGATGTGTTTTTTTTTTTAAGTTGAAAAACAATATATCTACTAAGATGGCTATAATCAAAAGGATAGATAATGATGTGTTGAGGATGTGGAAAAATTTGAACCCTCATACTGTTGGTGGGATTGTAAAATAGGGCAGCTGCTTTGGACAACAGTTTGACAGTTTCTCAAAAGATTATAAATACAGAGCTATCATGTAACTCAGCAATTCCACTTGTAGTTATAAATGAAAACATATATCTATGCAAAATCTTGTACACCAATGTTTATCGCAGCATTATTCACAAGTCAGAAGTGGTAACAACGCAAGTGTCCATCAGTGGATGAACGGATGGATTTACTGATAGAAAGGAATGAAGGAAGTATTGATAACTGCTTTGACATAGATGAACCTTGACAACATTTTGCTGAATGAAAGAAGCCAGATACAAAAGGCCACATATTATTTGATTCTATATCTGTGACATATCCAGAACAGGCAAATTCGTGGAGACAGAGAGTGGTTGAGTAGATGTCAGAGGTTGGGCACATGGGAGTGAAATGGGAAGTGACTGCTAAAGGATATTGGATTTCTTTTCAGGTGATGAAAATGTTCTAAAATAGATTGTGGTGATGGATACACAACTCTGTGAATATCCTGAAAAGTATTGGATCATGCACTTTAGATGTATGAATTTGTGCAGTATGCAAATTATATCTCAATAAATCTGTTACCAAAAAAAAAAAAAAGAAGAGTTTTAAAAACAACAACAAATCCCAATACAACATGCCTGACTTTTCTTCCAGCATAGTCTAGTGATTTTTAAGCCAAGCCTTCAGAGAAGTTTGTCTGTATGAGAGATGTTCTCTTCCATAGTCAGACTATTTGTGATTGGACAACTTCCTATCATACTGCTTTTGAGGTTACACTTTTTTGTTGTTGTTACTATAATTAAGTGTGAATTTTAATTAATGAGAAGGTGGTTTTAGAGATAAATCATTCTGGAATAATAGCAAGCCCTTCATTTTTGCCATATTACTATGTCCAAATGAATTGTAGATATGTTCACCTTCTTTCTTCCTCATAAACTTAGAGAAGTTTGGGGAACAATTTTTTTTTTTTTAATTGTTGTTGTTCTACCTTTGACTTCTTTAAGGGAGAGTTTGGCAATGTGTTATTAATTGGAACCTTAGCCTTCACTATCAAGTAATTTACTACCTTTCAACCCAAATAAAAGATTAATTAAAAAGGAAAAAAAATCTTAAATTAAATCTCAGTAACACTGAGAGAAATTAACCAATCTAGAATTCCATGTACCAAACTGTAACAGAAATTAACAGGAAAAAAAAAAAAGGTATTAAAGCTCTTGTGGGAGGGGAAGAAGGCCTGGATTGGGTTGGCATGTCAAAAAAAACAGACCCACTGCCATCAAGTCGATTCCAGTTCATAGCAACCCACATTGGATTTCCGGGGTGGTAAATCATTACGGAAGTAGATTACCTAGTCTTGCTTCCGCGGAGTGGCTAATGGGTTTGAACCACCAACTTTCTGGTTAGCAGTTAGATGCCTTAGGCACTGTGCTACCAGAGCTCCTTGGGTTAGCATGTGGCAGGCTGTTAATAATGAGGAATGTATATATAGAGAAAATTGAAGTATGCATATATCATGTTTGTAGCTACATTGCTGTGATTTTTAGGAAAAACAGAGGATATTAAAATATATTCCTCATCTGTGGCTAAGGATTTAGAGATAACAGTTCAAATATAAATATTCTCATGAAAGGTGAACTACTGACTCTGGGCACAATCCTATTGTATGGTTTCACTAAGGTTTTCATTACTGAAAACTGATCCTTACTAGAAGGGTGGATTTTCAGAGAAGGCAGGGGCACAGGGTTCCAGGGCACTGGTTGCTGTAGAGGTTAGGGGGAGAGGTATCACTGAGCAGGGTGTGCCAGTTTCAGATCTAAAATGCATACAGCGCATGTTTATGGAGCTTTGGTGGCAGAATGGGTAAAGCATTTGGCTGCTAACTAAAAGGTCAGCAGTTTGAACCCACCAGCTGCTCTATGGGAGAAAGATGTGATAGTCTACTTCTGTAAAGATCTATAGCCTTGGAAACCCTATGGGGCAATTCTAGTGTTATAGGGTTGGAATCTGGCTTTTACTCTGTCCTATAGAGTCAGAATCTATTGGATAGCAGTGGATACAGTGCAGTTTGAGATAATTTCAGACTTGTTTGTTTTTATGCATTGAGAAGTTTTATCCTTTCAATGAGAAAACGAACACTTGAAGCTCTGTGAAGGTTAAGATCTGCATGTCATGTCAGTATTCTATTGGAAGTAAAATTGAAAATAGGAAGGAATTTTCCCACAGGAATTTCAGACAGCTTCCCTCCCTATTCCCCATCCCAGAGCAAGATGCTCAGGGTGAAGACCACACCTTTGCTGTGAAGAAGCCTGAGTTGACTAGTCTTCCCAGGTTCCTCCTGCTTCTCTTCTCTTCCCACCTTTCTTCTGTTATCCTTCCTTGAATATAGTTGATTTGACACATTCACACCAATAGTTCCCTATTTCAGAATTCCACCTAAAGAGTCAGAAAGAACTAAATAAAAGCCAAGGACTAGCAAAATCATGGAGAAGACTAGGCTTACTGGTCTGATAGAGCCCCAAGACCATGGTCTGTAGTTAGCCTCCAGGCTTGCTTGGAATTGGGCTTACTCCTGTGGCATCCAGCTAAACAACAGATGGGCATATAGGGTGGGCATTTGTACCAGTTAGATATACTCCTTGGTATGATCGATCATGGGAGAACAGAAGGGCAGTGTTTGCACAGGGAGATAGCTTAGGTAGGCATATATTGGAAGGAGGGACACGGGGAAGAGGTAACTACAGGGAAGAAGTGGGAAGAGAGCTGCTACATTGTGGGGAATTGCAGTCAATGTCATGAAACAAAATGTGTATGAACTGCTGTAGGGAGAATGAATTTGCTCTGTAAACTTTCACCCAACTCACAGCTTAAAAAAAAAAAAAAGCCAAGGACCAGGTTTCCAGAATATTATAGACTATGTTTACAGGAAGGATTCTGTGGCTGAGCTTTAGGTATAAGGATATATGCAATTTAATGATGGAAAACATAACAGAATCAAAGTTTAGATGATTTGATGAATGCCGCTGCTGTCGTGTTTCTTGAGCAGTCTGCTGTGTGTGTGATTAGGATAAATCTCAAGGTTTCATTGTATTGTCACCAGGATAGGTGGATGGATGGAGGCACGTTCTGACTTATGAACCCCATTGATGTGTCTCTTTCTTGGTTTGTTTTGGCACAGCATGTAGCCGTGAGTTCAGGCAGCGGGCAGAATGATCTGGAAAAGATGAGCAGCGTCCTGGAAGCTGTGCCGCAGGTTAAATTTATTTGCCTGGATGTAGCCAATGGATATTCAGAACATTTTGTGGAGTTTGTGAAACTCGTCCGTGCCAAATTTCCAGAACACACCATTATGGTAGGTATGGGGGCACATTTTATATGTGGGGTAGTTCAGAGGGAGTTTTCCGTGCATTGGAGGTGAGCGGTATTCTCTTCAGAGCTTCTGTTGTTGTTGTTACATGCCGTCAAGTTGGATCCGACTCATAGCGACCCCTCCTTGGGTTTCTGAGGTGGTATCACTACGGAAGTAGATTGCCCAACCATCCTTCCAAAGAGTGGCTGGTAGGTTTGAACTGCCAGCCTTCTGGTTAGCAGTCAAATGCCTTAGGCACTATGCTACCATAGTTTCTAGTGCCCCCTTATTTGAAGACTAGTTGAGGACCATCAGGAAAAGGGCAGCAGCTATAGAAGATTGGATAGCGTGCTCTCCTCTGTAATAAAGTAAAATCCAGATCATAGGGTATTGGCTCCTTATGTTTGTTAAATATCATTGAATGTTTCTTACCATGTGGCTCTATGTCACTCCTCTTAACAAAGAGCATATTTTAAAAATTGAAGATATATAACTGGTTTCAGTTTGACATATTTATGTCTTCTATCCCCCACCCCTGTTTGGTAGTAAAAAGTCTGCTCTAAGAGTTAAAGTGGGCAGCGTGAACATTGCACAACAATCAATAATTAATTGCACATAACTTTTGAAGGCACTTTGGTGATGCTGTGGTTAAAGCATTGGGCTGCTAACCAAAAAGCCAGTGGTTCAAACCTGCCAGCTGCTCTGCAGGAGAAAGATAGCAATCTGCTTCCATAGAGATTTACAGCCTTAGAAACTCTGTGAAGAAGTTCTATTTTGTTCTGTAGGGTGCTTTGAATCAGAAGCAACTCTATGGCAATATTTTTTTGTTTGTTGGCTTGTTTCTTGACTCTTCCAGCCTTTCTATATTTCCCTAATTGTTAGCACCTTCACTAGTTAGAACGTGTATTTGTTATTGCTACAAGGAGCTCTGGTGGTGTAGTTCCTAGGCATTTGACTGCTAACCAGGAGGTTGGTGGTTCAAACCCACCAGCTACTCTACAGAAGGAAGACAGAGCAATCTACTTTGGTAAAGATTTACTGCCTCAGAAACCCAAAAGGGGTCACTATGAGTCAGAATCAACACAATGGCAGTGAGTTTAGTTTGAGTTTTTGGCAGAAAAGTGGATTCACAGAAAAAGGAAGTAGAAACTCCAGGGTTAAAGTTGGGCTCTTGAAACACCTATATTTTAATTAAAATGTCTTAATTATTCTCAGTTAACATGAGGGTTATAGATTGACCACTAGATAGTTTACCTAACCCTCTCGTCTTTGAATTTTGAACCTTACTTCTCTTTGCATTTCATCATTGTAAGGAAATTGAGAGGTGGGAATTATTTCTGTTAATAGAGTTAAATCTTCTGCTAAAGGGCTTCTAGATACTTTTAAAAAAGAAAAAAAATTATTTCAGTGCTTTCCTATCATGTGGGAAGAGTGGATCAAGAATTGTTCCAGGTCAACTAGTTGTGCCAAAGGGTAAGGGGGAGAACAGCAAAATTCTTCTTACTCTCCATAATGGTGCTGTCAGCTTCACTGTTTTTGAATATCATTTACTGAGTACCTACTGTGTTTCAGGACATTTTCATCTCTTCTTTACAGTTTCACCAGCAACTATACCAAAAAACAAACTCTGCCATTGAGAGTCGGTTCTGACTCATAGCAACCCCCAGTGGGTTTCCGAGGCAGTAAATCTTTATGAAAGTAGATTACATCATCTTTTTCCATGGAGTGGCTGGTGGGTTTGAGCCTTAGGCACTACACTACCAGAGCGCTAGGTAGAAAAAATTAAGGCCCCACTTCTCTACCAAATACATGTTGACCAATCCAAATCAACTTTTATTATCCATTCTATTCCCCTCTGTGGCAATTCTGTTCTGACACCAGTAGCACATACAGCACTTCTTCCTGACCCTAACCACCAGGAGCTGCATTAGAGCACACAAGGTAAAGGGCACAGTCCTCCAGTCTGCCAAGTATGCCAAAGACCTCAGACACCAGGCACTAGCTTGGAGTTCCTACTACACTGTCAACTTTTGTCCTATTGGCTACAAATTTGGGTTTTTTCCACTACTCCCTCATAAGTATAAGAGTCTCCCTCACTTCTGATCTTCTGGTCACAAATTTGAGAGTAAGCCCAGTCCCTGTCACTTCTGACCTGCTGGCTCCCACTACTTTCTTGGGTTTGATAATTTACTAGGACAACACAGACGTCAGGAAAGCTATACTTATAACTACATTTTTATTATAGCAGAAAACATACAAATGAAGAGTTGCATAGGGCCAAGTCTTAGAGGGTTCCCAACTTGAAACATCTATATGACAAAGGATGCGCCACTCTCCTTGTGCCATCAGTGTCTTTCACCGACCGGGAAGCTCGTGGAGTTTCCATGTTCAGAATCTTTATAGAGGGCCTCTGCTAAAGGGGCAAGAAGGCCGCATCTCCTGACCTCCTCTAACCCCACAAGAGAAATACAGAACCACTATCAATAGCCCAAGGCCTTTTCCTTTAAGGCCAAACATGCTGCCTCCCTCCAGCCCTTTCATCAACCCTTACACCAACCCTTCCTCCCGCAGCATCCACCACCTTTCTGCTCAGGGTTCGATAATTTGCTGCAGTGGCCACATGGAACTCAGATTATGGGGTTTATTAGGGAAGCACTGGGCTACAATTCAAGTTCAGGAACAATGCTCAGTCTCTCTTGGCCCACTGTCTCCCAGCTCACAGTCTCTCTCCCAGCAGTGTGTGTCTCTCATTGTCTCTCTCTTAGCAATGCATGTCTCTTGGTGTCTCTTTCTCAGCAGTGTGTATCTCTTGGTGTCTCTTTCTCAGCAGCATGTAGCTCTCAGGGGTGCGTGGCTCTCAACAGCGTGTCTTTCTCAGCCAGCAGTCAGAGAGACTTCTGCCTCTAGGAGGCCTCCTTCTGAGCCTGGCAGAGTGGCTAAACTAGCCAATCATAACATCAGAATTCTAAGCACCTGAGAGAGAGCGCGGACTTCCCAGAATATTGCTTTGTGCCACTCTCAACAGAAATACCCCAGGTGGATAACTTTAATGAGCTACTCAGTTGCTCAGGGCAAATTCCACCATGGAGTTTACAAAGACTCATGGCTAGAAAAGCCATACCAGGCAATTTACTACACTGCAGCCTCATTAGCTAGGCATGATTTGTCATGTCCTTCTCACCTGAGGTCCCCTCATACCATTAATTGAGTCTTTCTGTTCTGGCCAGCCGCCACCTGAATCATTTTATTAGTGTAAAACTTTAGGTGTGGTCTGGAGCCCTTTTAGATAACAAAGACACTTCTTCAGTCACTGGGAAAATTCTAAGGTGTTAGAGGTTATGTCTCAGGAACCAAACACAAAGACCAAATTCTTTGGGTAAAGTTAAATTCTTTAACTCACAAACTATTAAGGAAATTTGCCACAGATGAGGAATCTTATATTCTAGTTTGCTCTTACATTTTGAAATTTTCACAGGGTCACACCAGCATTGTGGCAAAGCTGGAATTTGAAGCTAGGTTTGTTTGAATACAAATGGCAAGCTCTGCCCAGTACCCTGCACTGCCCATTGAACCTGGTTAACATGCCTGTATTAGTTACAAATTACCACCAGTTATGTGGCTTAAAACAACAGAAATTTAGTGTCTGACTTCTGGGAATTAGAAATCTAATTCAAGGTGTAAGAAGGGCCATGCTTTCTCCAAAGGCTCTGGGGGACTTATTCTTCTCTCTTTCAGCTACTTGTAGCTCCAGATGTTCTTGGCTTGTGTCAGCATCACTCTAATCTCTGCCTCTGTCTTCACATGACTGTCTTCTGTGATGCTCTGTCTCTGTGTCTGTTTACCTCATTTTGAGCTGTGGTGGTGTAGTGCCTAAGGCATTTGACTGCTAACCAGAAGCTGGCAGTTCAAACCCACCAGCCACTCCTTGGAAGGAAGATTGGGCAGTCTACTTCCATAGAGATACTGCCTCAGAAACCCAAGGAGAAGGCGCTATGAATTGGAACCGACTCCACGGCAGTGAGTTTGGTTTTTGGTTTTTTTGAGTCGTATTGGATTAGGGCCCACCTTACTCCAGTATGAGAGCTCTTGTTAGTTTTAGGAACCATATCTGCAAAGTTGCTATTTTAAGATAAGGTCACCCTCACAGATACTGGGGATTAGGACTTGAACTTACCATTTGGAGGGGTTGGGGATACAGTGCAACCCATAACAGTGCCCCTGTCCTTATTAAGGTTAGTGATAAAGCTTTCTTCTTCCATTAGATGATATGTGTGCAACCAATTTCCAGCTTTTATTTCTGAGATGGGGAAGTGGATCTTCTTTGGGCACATGTTCGAAGTGACTCGTTATCATGACCAACACTGCATCTAGGCTTGAGACCCCAAGCAGACCTTCTACCCCACATTCTTTGTGGTGAATTTTTCTTTTGAGCATGTGAAAGAGGATACAGAAACCTGAACTCCTAGGAGAGGAGAAGTCTCCAGCTGGGGACTTGGTGATCCATAATCAGCCTTTGGTTTAAATAAACACAAATTCTGTGAAACAATGCCTAAAACCGTAGAAAGGGCTTGAAAAATATCTGTTAACTAAGAGTCCTTTGTTTTTCTTCCTGAGGGTAGGAGATAAACCAAGCCAGAAATTGTTGAAGTTCCTTTTTCTCTGAAATGGAATAGACTAGATCTTTCCAATTCACCTCTAGTGTTTTATTTGCTCTGGAGAGCTTAATCAATTTTGGAAGTTTCTCTTGGCATTCTCTGCTATTTTATGGTTCAAGAGTTAGATAAGAAGGGTTACGAATGAGAAATTACATGGACTTTATGAAGCCACTTAGGGAACTCTGGTGGCATAGTGGGTAAAGCAGCTGCTTAGCTGGCTGCTAACCAGAAGGTCGGTGGTTCAAAGCCACCAGCTGCTCTGCAGGAGGAGGATGAGGCAGTCTACTTCTATAAAGATTTACAGTCTTGGAAACCTATTGGGGGTCACTATGAGTCAGAATTGACTTA